TCGCAGCAAGGGGTCACCGTGGCTAGCTGAGGTCAAATGCTGTGTATACCGATCACCGTTTATTAAACACTCACTTTTCAACAAACCGTTTTTTTTTTAATTTTCATGCTGTGGTTTTCACACCTGATGATGATTGCTTGTGTTGCAGTCGAAACGTCGTGAGAATTGTATTGTTTTATTTTTTCTACGTGACTTTACCGAAAGAACCAAGAATATGAATCCCTGCAGTCACGAAAGCTTTAAATCGAAATTTAAACCCTGTTTTCATTCGCAACTCGTTCACTCTGCCGTGAACGTGTTGCCGGTGGCGACGGTAGCTGGCGACGGCGATTGCCGGCTACGGCGGTCGCCGTAACGTTGCCTTGGCGTGTCGCAGCCTTTAATGCAGAGGAGCGATGTGTTCGCAGATCGAGGTCGTGTACGAGAACAGCCAGGGAGGCGTCTGCCTGCCGTCCGTCCCCATGGAGAACGAGGAAAACCTGACGCTCCACAGGAGGTGTGGCTTATCTCTCACTCTGTCGACTTCTCCCTTCTCTTTCCTGTTACTTTTTCGTTTTGCCCACGCATTACATCCTTGACCCTGCTCCGCGCTTAATCCTAGCCCACCACCCTGTGCGTCATGATGCTAGGCTGTCTGTGTTTTAGCCTACGGCGAGTTTGATCAGCGGTGAAAGCTTCCCCTTATTTGTCTTGCTTGCCGCAGTCACATCATGACGGAGCTCCTGGAGACGGAGAGGGTCTACGTGGAGGAGCTGCAGACAATACTGGAGGTGAGGCGGCGCAAACGTTGTCTTCTGAGCAGGACGAACGTCCCTCGCGGCGGTCGATGAGCTTGCACCAACCGGGGGGCTTTCGAGGAGCAGTCCTCAAGCTTCGCCGCCATTGCGCGAGTGACATCGTTGATGGCGGGGGGGGGGGGGGCATCAACAGGTGGCCATGGCGACAAGCTTGACTGCAACTTTCAAGTATTTTTAATGCTTTCCAAGCAAGGTGTTTATTCATGCGTTCGCTCCGTTCGTCCGATGATAAAGGGCAGGGGAGTGTCTTGGGTGGCAGGCACTGATGACGCCTGTAACCGTTATTCAATGTGAACACGGCTTCAGTAAATATTTTTGCGTGTTGCTGTTAGGGACTTGCCCTCTTGAAAACCGGGCCACGCGAATCAAAGCATTGGCCAAAAACAAAAATAGGGGCTCAAACGAAAACAAAAATAACGGTTTGGAAATGTGCAAATGCATTGTTTCCCTTATTTTGTTCGGCATTTGTGGGGATTGCAAATCGATGTCGAGATTCAATATCCATTCCGACTGCTTAGTGGGAGCAGCCGCGTGGATTTGTTTTGGATCGCCTCCCCCCCCCCCTTTGAATGCTCCGATTGGAGCGGTCGTTCACCGTCTTGAGATATCCCACCACCACCACCACAGTCACGAGCTGGACTCTCGTTAGATTTTCCACTCGTGGGGAAAGTGTCCCACATCTTCCACGGAGCGTCCGGGTTCCGACTCGAGGAGGACCAGGATCTTCCTCGGTAGGTCAGATCCTGCTTGGAGGATTGTGATGATATTTATTTTGTCCTGGCAGCTACTCACCGGCTTCCGTACCGCAACTTGTTGTCGCATACAAAGACCCATGTCGGAGAGCACTCCGCACTCCGTCCGCACTCGTGATTTTATTCGTCGTTTGAGGATTGTTGGCAATCCGGGGCGGCCAGCCCGCTGTTCAAAATGACTTTCGTTATTTTCGAACGTCTTTCTCACTTCGTCTTTACTTGGTTGATTGTTTAAGGGGGCTTTAAAAATTAAAATTATTATTACTTCCTCCCCTCCCTTGCGTTACACCCAGATGTGTAGTGTTTGGGACTGAGGTCCACGGATGTATGTATGTGTGTACGTGGCCAACCGTGCTAATCAAGGTGTGGAGCAGGGGCGGTTTCTTCATTAGGGCGATTGGGCGACGCACCGCCAATGTCATTCAACCACAGAGTCACTGCAGCCTCTGGATATAGTCCAATCAGCGTCACGTCACGTTCTGTGGAGTACCGCCTCTTTTTGGGCGATTTCACTCCGGCTGAGAATCGCCCCGAGTGGCCCCATAGACTTACATTCAAAGATGATTTTTTTCGAACGGGGGCGCTGCAATGCATTCTCTATGGCTTCCGGGAAGGCTCGCCCTAACGTGCTTACGTCATCATACGTGCTTACGTCATCATACATAAGCACGTTTCACCCAACAATATAATTTGTGGCCACCTAGTGGAATCTTTAATAAAATAAACTTGTGTTGTTTGTTTTAATAGTGAGTATAGAAACAAACAAGATGTATTGTAAGAGTCACTTTATTTTTCATTAATATTAAAGAAGTGAAGTTGCCTTTACATGCTTAAGCTGTTAATTTATCCATTGCATGGGTGGACCTTATCCTAATCAATCATCCAGACATTTGCCCCCCCTGAGAGATTTTGCAGGAGCCGCCACTGGAGGGGAGGGAAGGATTTTTCTGTAGCCCACCCCCTCCTCGCGTCCCAGTTCGTGCTCCTATTGAAATACCGTAAAAAATTTATTTTAAAAATGATTGTCAACAAGCCGAGCAGAAAGTTTTGGATAGAGGTTGAGAGTGACGATGTCACTTCTTGTGGGGGTGGTCCAGGGCTACGCGGACGCCATGGAGACGGAGGAAATGGCGGCGCCCGTCCCCGCCGGCGCCAGGGAGAAGAAGGACATCCTGTTCGGCAACATGGCCGACATCTACCACTTCCACAGCAGGTGGTGGAGCCATTCTCTGTCCACTGTTGGATGAACACTTTTTTTTGCTTGCCTTCTCTGCCCCGCTGCAAATGATCCACAGCCATGGCCAGGATGCACGGCACCTGTGGCAGTTTCTACATGAACCTGGCTTGGGCCTCCCCTCGGCTGACTCGTGCTAAAGTCAGCATAGTTACACCTCCGCTTATAAATTAAGGTGCCTTGGAGCACTTTACATATAATGCAGTTTACACGTACGTACGGCCAACAGTTCAAATGTATGAAATACAAGACATTTGGTGTTTCGTAACAAAGCAATGTTACCCTCTGCAATTTAATTGTTACCTCGTAAGAGATTATGCAATGCTTAAACGAGTTGGTGAAAATGAAGGAATAAGATGGTAAGAGCTGATAGATACTCATCTCAACCCCTTGCATTTGCGCTGACCCAGAGAACATCAAACGTTGGTCCAACGGTTCCAACCGATTGCCAACGTTGGTTCAACGTTAGTCCAACGGTTCCAACTGATTGCTAATGTTGTTCAATGTTCGTCCAACGGTTCCAACTGATTGCTAATGTTGGTTCAAAGTTGGTCCAACGGTTCTAACCGATTGCCAACGTTGGTTCAACGTTAGTCCATTGGTTCCAACCGATTGCCAATGTTGGTTCAATGTTCGTCCAACGGTTCCAACTGATTGCTAATGTTGGTTCAAAGTTGGTCCAACGGTTCTAACCGATTGCCAACGTTGGTTCAACGTTAGTCCAACGGTTCCAACCGATTGCCAATGTTTCTGGCATATATTACCAGAGCATGTTTTTTGTTCGCATGCTCACCACAAGTATGTGTGGTTAATGCAGATATGATTCTTTGCAAAAAGTTTGTGTTTGGTGTTTTAACGTCTTAACACAACTGTTTTATTGCCAGAAAGGGTAACACCTATTATTATATTTAACACGTATGTTTTCGCGACCAATATCATCCATAATAGAGGTTTTGGGTTAGATCGCGTAAATATATAAATGTGTGGTCACCACATCTACACCTCTATATAAGGAACGAAACAGGTGGACTTCTTTACAAATCTGGCTGTCGCCTGATGAAGCTAGTTGTAATTACTGGCAAAACGTCGTACTCGGATTGTAAATGTTGTGGCTTGGCTCTCCAACACACCGGCGTGCTGTACGAGTGACGAATTGGCCACGTTCTGTTTACGTGACAACCCTTACTAGTTGGCTGTGTCGGGTGGTGGCGGGTTTTAACGACACATCTACATGTTTACGCGATTTAACAAAAAAAAACTCTATTATGGATCTATTCTTATACAGTAAAACCTTGGATTGCGAGTGTTTTGCAAGACGAGCAAAAATGTTAAATAAATATTAATTTGATAAACGAGCGAGGTCTTGCAATACGAGTAGCACGTGCATACGCTTTGTCTGCCAAGCGTCACGTGATCACAACTCATATACGAGTGCTTTGATATACGAGTGCTTTGGATTACAAGCACGTTTCCGGAACGAATTATGCTCGCAATCCAAGGTTTTACTGTATGTTGATACTGGCAAAGGAGGTCCCACGATGTAATCAAACTTAGTGGGCGCGTTCCGCGAGGGGGTGCTCGCTAACTGAGCTCCGCGCTTCTGCTGCTGCTGCTTCAGTGTCTTCCTCAAGGAGCTGGAGGATTATACGGAGCGGCCGGAAGAGGTTGGGAGTTGCTACCTGAAGCGGGTAAGGCGGTGGTGGTGTAGTGACTACATTATCAGTGGTGTAGTGACTACATTATCAGTGGTGTAGTAACTACATTATCACTGGCGAAGTGACTACATTATCAGTGGTGTAGTAACTACATTATCAGTGGCGTAGTGACTACACTAAGTGGAGTAGTGACTACATTATCAGTGGCATAGTAACTACATTATCAGTGGTGTAGTAACTACATTATCAGTGGTGTAGTGACTACACTATTAGTGGAGTAGTGACTACATTATCAGTGGCATAGTAACTACATTATCAGTGGTGTAGTAACTACATTATCAGTGGTGTAGTGACTATACTATTAGTGGAGTAGTGACTACATTATCAGTGGCATAGTAACTACATTATCAGTGGTGTAGTAACTACATTATCAGTGGTGTAGTGACTATACTATTAGTGGCGTAGTGACTACATTATCAGTGGCATAGTAACTACATTGTCAGTGGTGTAGTAACTACATTATCAGTGGTGTAGTGACTACACTATTAGTGGAGTAGTGACTACATTATCAGTGGCATAGTAACTACATTATCAGTGGTGTAGTAACTACATTATCAGTGGTGTAGTGACTACACTATTAGTGGAGTAGTGACTACATTATCAGTGGCATAGTAACTACATTATCAGTGGTGTAGTAACTACATTATCAGTGGTGTAGTGACTATACTATTAGTGGCGTAGTGACTACATTATCAGTGGCGTAGTGACTACACTATTAGTGGGGTAGTAACTACATTATCAGTGGCGTAGTGACTACATTATCAGTGGCGTAGTGACTACATTATCAGTGGTGTAGTAACTACATTATCAGTGGCGTAGTGACTACATTATCAGTGGCGTAGTGACTACACTATCAGTGGCGTAGTGACTACATTATCAGTGGCGTAGTGACTACACTATCAGTGGCGTAGTGACTACATTATCAGTGGTGTAGTGACTACATTAGCAGTGGGGTAGTAACTACATTATCAGTGGCGTAGTAACTACATTATCACTGGCGAAGTGACTACATTATCACTGGCGAAGTGACTACATTATCAGTGGCATAGTGACTACACTATTAGTGGAGTAGTGACTACATTATCAGCTCAGGGTGTGTGGCCATCGGTCAGGTGGGGCCCCAATATTTGATTCGCGCAATTTGCGCCAAACGTTCCTGCTCTAATTAAATTTAAATAAAACGTGGACACCAAAATGAACGCATTATCATAAACAAATAAATGTAAACGGAATTTTACATAAGTGTTGTTGTTCTTTTACACGGCTGTTGAAAACAAATCACGTGGTGGTTGTCAAGGGGGGGGCCCCCCACCCCCCCCCCCCCCACTCGTAGCTTTGGCCAACAGGGGGCGGGGGGGGCTATCTGAGTAAGGGTCGCCGCGGTGGCGAGATGTTGACTCCCTCGCCTGGTATGCAGGAGGTCGGGTTCGATCCAGACCCTGATGCCTGCTGTATATTTCGGGTTTGCATGTTCTTTGCCTCCAAACCTTTGGCATCTACAGCGCCGCGTTGGTCGCCACGGACGTAGCGGCAACGGTGTCACGTGGTCAACAGCGGTGTGACGTGATCAACAGCGGTGTCACGTGGTCAACAGCGGTGTGACGTGATCAACAGCGGTGTCACGTGATCAACAGCGGTGTCACGTGATCGATGGTGTCACGTGATCAACAATGGTGTCACGTGATCGATGGTGTCACGTGATCAACGGTGTGACGTGATCGCAAGTTTTGGTTGCGCGGGGGACAATCCGTTGCCCTCTCCGCTGCGTCCCGTGTGCGTGTGCAGAAGGAAGATTTCCGCATCTACGAGAAGTACTGCCAGAACAAGCCGCAGTCCGAGACGCTGTGGAGACAAATCTCCGACGCGCCATTCTTCCAGGTGTGTGTGTGCGGTATGTGGTGTATGTGTGTGGTGTGTGGTGTGTGCGTTTCACACGCGTGTGTGCGGGAAGCTATGGTGTCATGGTTTACGCGCCGCGCCAGCTGCTACGCTCACAGCCAACGTCGGCGACGAATGTGTGGACCGATCCTGGGCCTCCCCTGGGTCGACTCGGCCTTAAATGAGGCATTCATGCTCTGTGTCAACATGTAAATTGGGGAGACAAAGGCGGCCGGGCGTGGTGCTGGCCACTCACACACCCTCTTGGGCATACGGGTCTTAACATGCGCTCGCTCTTAACAGCACTTGCCGCGACAGTCTGTTAAAGGTTTCTCGGGGGAATCTTTGTCTGCGCGTCCCGTTAACCCACAATGGCTGGGCTGCAGCTCGCTAAAGTCACCGCACATTCTGCGGATTACCGGACGCAACTCATTGCCCCGTATTTCGCATTAAAAGGTCGTGTGTGAGTCTGACAATCGGGTAGCTTTGCTTGTACGCTGTGAGCGTGTGCGCGCGTGTCTGCGTCGTGTTTGCGTCGTGTGTGCGAGTGTGTGTGTGTGTGTGCGCGTGTGCACGACCAGAATTGTCCAAACTTTATTGACGCCCGGCACGAGTTCCGGGGCTTCTTGCCATCAGGAAGCGCCGAACGATCCACAAAATACGGCACTCACTCCCCCTTCCCTGACCTGCTGTGCCGGCTGTCCATCATGGCGGTGGTGGAGGTGGTGGAGGGAGGGAGGGGAGCATCCCTCCTTTTTGTTTCTGTCTCTGTGCGCGTGCCAAACACCGCGCGCGCCGTTCGTCTCCCCGGCTGCCGCAGGAATGTCAGAAGAAGCTCGGCCACAAGCTGGCGCTGGACTCGTACCTCCTGAAGCCCGTGCAGCGCATCACACGCTACCAGCTGCTGCTCAAGGTACGGGCCCTCTCTTCCCCACGTGTTGCTTGACCCTTGACCCCCCCCCCCGCGTCCCTCCGCCGCGACCCATCGCAGATGACGAGGACGACGATCACGATGACGACGACGATCATGACGACAATGACGATTACGTTGATGATGATGACATCGACGGCGATGGCGACAAGAATGACATCGATGATGACATCAACGATGATGTCGACGATGACGTCGATGATGATGATGACGACGACGGTGACGACGAGGAGGGCGGCAACTTTGGTGTGTGTGTGCGCGTGGTGCTGCGGCGGTGCAGGAGCTCCTGAAGGGCACGAAGGACGTGCAGCACGCCCTGGAGCTGGAGGAGGCCCTGGCCAGCATGCAGAGCCTCCTCAAGTCCCTCAACGACTCCATGCACCAGATTTCCATCACCGGATACAAGGTGCACGCTCGTTATTGATCGCCGGCTCCTGAGCGCCGTTTGAGTGGCAAATCACTTGGGGCTTTTTTTGTTGTTGAGAATCATGACAATGGAGCTTGCCCTGTCGACATTGATGTTGATGACGGAGATGTTGATGATGTTGATGATGGTGATGATGGTGATGATGGTGATGGTGATGATGATGGTGATGATGATGGTGATGATGATAGTGATGATGGTGATCATAGTGATGACGGTGATGATGGTGATGATGGTGATCATAGTGATGATGGTGATGATGGTGATCATAGTGATGATGGTGATCATAGTGATGACGGTGATGTTGATGACGGTGATGATGTTGATGACGGTGATGTTGATGATGGTGATGATGACGGTGATGATGGTGATGATGACGGTGATGATGGTGATGATGGTGATCATAGTGATGACGGTGATGTTGATGACGGAGATGTTGATGATATTGATGATGATGGTGATGATGATGGTGATGTTGATGATGGTGATGATGGTGATGTTGATGATGGTGATGATGATGATGGTGATGTTGATGACGGAGATGTTGATGATGGTGATGATGGTGATGTTGATTATGGTGATGTTGATGATGGTGATGATGGTGATGTTGATGATGGTGATGTTGATGATGGTGATGATGGTGATGTTGATGACGGAGATGTTGATGACGGAGATGATGGTGATGATGGTGATGTTGATGATGGTGATGTTGATGATGGTGATGTTGACGACGGCAGTGTTGATGACGCCAACGACGACGATGACTACACCAGGGTAAGGGGCCGTCCGTAACGTGAAAAAAAACGCTTCTAGGAAGCTCGCCGGGATTTCCCCGCGGCCTAAAACAAGGATTGCGATTCGCGACTGTTGAACGACGAACCGGTTTCCGCAGGGAAACCTCCTGGAACTGGGCAAGCTGCTGATGCAGGGCTCCTTCAGCGTGTGGACCGACCACAAGAAGGGCGCCAACAAGGTGAAGGACTTCCCGCGCTTCAAGCCCATGCAGCGGCACGTCTTCCTCTACGAGAAGACGCTGCTCTTCTGCAAGCGGCGCGAGGAGACGACCGAGGGCTACGAGAAGACGCCCTCCTACGGCTACAAGCACTCGCTGCAGGTGCCGGGTCGTTCGTCCCCGTTAGCACCCCCCCCTCGCCCCCCCCCCCCCTCACCCTCCCCTCGCCCCCCCCCTCGCTCCCCCCTCGCCCCCCCCCCTCGCCCCCCCCTCGCCCCCCCCCTCGCCCCCCCAAATCGGCGAGTGGGCGCTGAAAGTTTCGCCAGTGAGGCCAGAAATTCCGATGGCCTCTCTCTCTCTCTCGCTCTGTGTGTTTCCGTGACACAATGGAAGGCAGCATAGGAGTGTGCTGAACTTTTTTCGCACCGTACGTAGCCAACCGTGCTAATCAGTGAGTCTCTGTGTGAGTCTATGAGTTTCTGTGTGAGTCTGTGGGTCTCTGAGTGAGTCTGTGGGTCTCTGTGTGAGTCTGTGGGTCTCTGTGTGAGTCTGTGGGTCTCTGTGTGAGTCTGTGGGTTTCTGCGTGAGTCTGTGGGTCTCTGTGTGAGTCTGTGCGTCTCTGTGTGAGTCTGTGGGTCTCTGTGTGAGTCTGTGGGTTTCTGTGTGAGTCTGTGGGTCTCTATGTGAGTCTGTGGGTCTCTCTGTGGGTCTACGGGTCTCTGTGTGAGTCTGTGGGTCTCCGTGTGAGTCTATGAGTCTCTGTGTGAGTATGTTGGTCTCTGTGTGAGTCTGTGGGTCTCTGTGTGAGTCTGTGGGTCTCTGCGTGAGTCTGTGGGTCTCTGTGTGAGTCTGTGTGTCTCTATGTGAGTCTGTGGGTCTTTGTGTGGGTCTGTGGGTCTCTGTGTTAGTTTATGGGTCCCTCTGAGACAACAAACTGAACACAAATATCAGTTCTAAAGAAATGCGTTTTCAATCTAGATCAGTGGTTCTTCCTAACCTGGGGTGCATTGCATTCCCTGGGGGGGGCGCGCGACGCGGCCGGATTATTTTAGAAGGCAAATCATCGAAAACACAAATTAAGCGCGGGAAACCTAAGTCGCAACTTACTTCGTTTCACCAAACCCTGCGCAGTTGTTAACGTTGTGCATTGTGTTTTAACGATGGAGAACCAACGGGTTCTAAGGTTAAGAGACACTGCTCTAGATGATTTAAAAGTGCGCACATAGCTTGAAGGGACATCCACATCGGGGCCCCCCGACCGGTGCCGACCCCTGGCTCCCAGGACCCCCCTCCCCTCCCTCCCCTTGCACCTCCGTCCTGGCTGCGATTTCGCGACGATGAGCGACGAGTCTCCCTGTCACTCCGCCGGCGGCGTTGCAGATGAGCTCCGTGGGGATCACGGAGAACGTGCGAGGGGACAGCCGCAAGTTTGAGATCTGGTGTTCACGGCGGGAGCAAGTCTACATCATCCAGGTGAGCCACGCCGCGCGATGGGATCGGCCCGTGGCGAGGGTTTGCGTGGTTTTTCACGCTGCCAATGCCTCCGTGCGTGTGTGTGTGTTTGTGTGGGGAGCGGTGGCGTGGCGGTTAGCGCTGCGATGCGCCACGAACCCGGTGACCCGAGTTCGATTCCCGCTCACGGCCAACGCCGGTGACGATTATCTAAACAGGTCCTGGGCCTCCGCTTGGTCGACCCAGCCTCAAATGGGTACCTGGTGAGGTGTGTAAACATCGCCACTGGGGAGACAAAGGCTGTCGGGCGTGGTGTTGTCCACTCACCCCCCCGTGTGCCGTGCCGGCCTTCATAGGTGCTCGCTAACAGCACTGGCTTCAACAGTCTGTGAAGGCTACACGTGGGAGTTTTTGCTTGTGTGCGTCTCATGCGTGACATGGTACAAACAAGCCAATGAGAACCGAATCTTGAATTTATGTATGGACGTTGAACTTCCTTCCCGCCGTACGAAGCCAACCGTGCTAATCGGGTTTTGACTTCAAGAAAGTAATTCGTGTAAGAATATAAGAATAGGTTTGACCTTTTATGGCAATAAAACAGGTGTTAAAATTTTGATTTAAAGCTTTCGTAACTGCAGGAAATATTATTATATTTGTATTATTTTATATTTTTATTATTTTATTATTCCCTTCTACGTGACTTTACCGAAAGAACTAAGAACGGGTGTTAAGATGTTAAAACAACAAACAGAAACCTATTGCAGGGAATCGTGTCTGCATTAACCACACATACAAAAAACATGATCTGGTAGTCTATGATGATCCATTGTCTTTGAAACTGATTGGTCCACACCAGAGACGGCTTTTTCTTCTTGGTTCTTTCGGTAAAGTCACGTAGAATGGAAAAAAAAATAATAATAATAAAATAATTCTCACGACGCTTCGGCCACAACGCAAGCAGCCGTCCTCAGGTGAAGGACAGGTCTGTCGGGGAGACAGAGTCTGACCTGGTCTTCACGGCTGCTTGCGTTGTGGCCGAAACGTCGTGAGAATGATTTTATTATGTTTTATTTTATTATATTTATTGTTTCCATTTTATGTGACTTTACCGAATGAACCAAGAAGATGAATCCCTGCAGTCACGAAAGCTTTAAATCGACAATGCCACTGTCAGGGCTTTGAGAGCTCGCGGCGAGCAGCTACATCATGGGACCCCCCTTGCCTGTATCAAAATATAAGAATAGATTTTACCCTTTCTGGTAATAAAGCAGTTGTGTTAAGATGTTAAAACACCAAACAGACAACCTTTTGCAAGGAATCAATGTCTACATTCACCATCGTGGGAGGTGCCGTGATGATTAATGTAGTTCGTAGTCGACCGCTCAGAAACCGCGTCACGACGGCACGCCTTTTTCCGCGTTGTGCGAAAAGCGTTCCCGAATAGGGGAGAAAAGGGCCGTCAATCGCGAAAGCGCGTCGCGGTGTTCACATCGTGACGCGTTAAACGAGGACCCCTGCCCCGTTAATGGCAACTCACTTGGGTAGCTTGTGGATAGTCCAGCAGGTGGCGGGGTGCCCGCGCAGAAAGAACTGTGTACAGGGACTACCCTCGACTTGCAAACAAATCGCTTTACGAACTTCCAGAGATACGAACAAACCTGATCCGTATGTCCAGTTGCCTGTTCGGATCGATAGGTGGCGGTGGTGGGATCTACATCTGCAGAACGTGAAGAACCAGTGGCATCTACATCTGCTGAACTTGAAGAACCAGTGGCATCTACATCTGCAGAACGTGAAAAACCAGTGGCATTTACATCTGCAGAACGTGAAAAACCTGCGGCATCTACATCTGGTGAACTTGAAGAACCAGTGGCATCTACATCTGCAGAACGGGAAGAACCAGTGGCATCTACATCTGCAGAACGTGAAGAACCAGTGGCATCTATATCTGCAGAACGTGAAGAACCAGCGGCATCTACATCTGCAGAACGTGAAGAACCAGTGGCATCTACATCTGCAGAACGTAAAGAACCAGTGGCATCTACACCTGCAGAACGTGAAGAACCAGTGGCATCTTCATCTGTAGAACGTGAAGAACCAGTGGCATCTTCATCTGTAGAACGGGAAGAACCAGTGGCATCTACATCTGCAGAACGTGAAGAACCAGTGGCATCTATAACTGCAGAACTTGAAGAACCAGTGGCATCCACATCTGCAGAACGTGAAGAACCAGTGGCATTTACATCTGCAGAACGTGAAGAACCAGTGGCATCTACATCTGCACAACGGGAAGAACCAGTGGCATCTACATCTGCAGAACGGGAAGAACCAGTGGCATCTACATCTGCAGAACGTGAAGAACCAGCGGCATCTACATATGCAGAACATGAAGAACCAGTGGCATCTATATCTGCAGAACGTGAAGAACCAGTGGCATCTACATCTGCAGGTCGTGAAGAACCAGTGGCATCCACATCTGCAGAACATGAAGAACCAGTGGCATCCACATCTACAGGAGATTATACAGCTTGTAAAGCCATTCCCCGTGTTTAGTGTACACGCCGTACAGCGTGACAGACCTTTACTCATTGGCTGTGTCGGGTGGTGGCGGGTTTATCGACACAACAATTATATTTCCGCGATCGAGCCCATAAAAAATCTATGTTATGGACTGTGGCTTGTGTCTCGAATTTGCAACGTATGCAGGAGTTGCGGGCTCATTGGCCTGGTTGTAGATGTTCTGATGCGGTTCATGGTTCGACCAGTGTCTTTAAGGAATGCCACTGGTGTGTCACTGCCAATGGGTGCGTCGTTGTTGTGCCCGCAGGCCCCGTCCAACGAAGAGAAGTCTGCGTGGGTGAGCGAGATACGGAAGCTGCTCACCATGCAGCTGCAGGCCTGCAAAGGTGGGACGATGCACCTCGTCGCTTGCGAACCCACGTGCCCAGGACATCGCTTCAGGGTGGTTAGGAGATGTTGACTACCTCGCCTCTCAGCGGGATGTCCCCATAGGGGTGGCTAGGAGATGTTTACTACCTCGCCTATCAGCGGGATGTCCACGTTGGGGTGGCTAGGAGATGTTGACAACCTCGCCTCTCAGCAGGATGTCCCCATAGGGGTGGCTAGGAGATGTTGACTACCTCGCCTCTCAGCAGGATGTCCACGTTGGGGTGGCTAGGAGATGTTGACTACCTCGCCTCTCTGCGGGATGTCCCCATAGGGGTGGCTAGGAGATGTTGACTACCTCGCCTCTCAGCAGGATGTCCACGTTGGGGTGGCTAGGAGATGTTGACTACCTCTCCTCTCAGTGGGATGTCCCCATAGGGGTGGCTAGGAGATGTTGACTACCTCGCCTCTCAGCGGGATGTCCCCATAGGGGTGGCTAGGAGATGTTGACTCCCTTGCCTCTCAGTGGGATGTCCACATAGGGATGGTTAGGAGATGTTGACTACCTCTCCTCTCAGCGGGATGTCCCCATAGGGGTGGCTAGGAGATGTTGACTACCTCGCCTCTCAGTGGGATGTCCCCATAGGGGTGGCTAGGAGATGTTGACTACCTCGCCTCTCTGCGGGATGTCCCCATAGGGGTGGCTAGGAGATGTTGACTACCTCGCCTCTCAGCAGGATGTCCACGTTGGGGTGGCTAGGAGATGTTGACTACCTCGCCTCTCAGCAGGATGTCCCCATAGGGGTGGCTAGGAGATGTTGACTACCTCGCCTCTCAGTGGGATGTCCCCATAGGGGTGGCTAGGAGATGTTGACTACCTCGCCTCTCTGCGGGATGTCCCCATAGGGGTGGCTAGGAGATGTTGACTACCTCGCCTCTCAGCAGGATGTCCACGTTGGGGTGGCTAGGAGATGTTGACTACCTCGCCTCTCAGCAGGATGTCCCCATAGGGGTGGCTAGGAGATGTTGACTACCTCGCCTCTCAGTGGGATGTCCCAATTGGGGTGGCTAGGAGATGTTGACTACCTCGCCTCTCAGCAGGATGTCCCCATAGGGATGGCTAGGAGATGTTGACTACCTCGCCTCTCAGCAGGATGTCCACGTTGGGGTGGCTAGGAGATGTTGACTACCTCGCCTCTCAGCAGGATGTCCCCATAGGGGTGGCTAGGAGATGTTGACTACCTCGCCTCTCAGTGGGATGTCCCCATAGGGGTGGCTAGGAGATGTTGACTACCTCGCCTCTCAGCAGGATGTCCCCATAGGGGTGGCTAGGAGATGTTGACTACCTCGCCTCTCAGTGGGATGTCCCCATAGGGGTGGCTAGGAGATGTTGACTACCTCGCCTCTCAGCAGGATGTCCCCATAGGGGTGGCTAGGAGATGTTGACTACCTCGCCTCTCAGTGGGATGTCCCCATAGGGGTGGCTAGGAGATGTTGACTTCCTCTCCTCTCAGTGGGATGTCCCCATAGGGGTGGCTAGGAGATGTTGACTACCTCGCCTCTCAGTGGGATGTCCCAATTGGGGTGGCTAGGAGATGTTGACTACCTCGCCTCTTAGCGGGATGTCCCCATAGGGGTGGCTAGGAGATGTTGACTACTTCGCCTGGGAAACAGGAGGTCGTGGGTTCGACCCCCAAGTGCACTCTTGAGGAGCAAGTGTGCACCTCGTCGGAAAACTGCCGACGTTTTTCTTTTGCTTTTGTACACGTGTGCGCCGTTTGACGGCAGCCCACGCCGTCGACTTGCCGACGAAGGGGTAGCTTTGTTTTGCCCAGCCTGGTGGAAGGCGGGGGGGGGGGGGGGGTGAGATACGGGCAGGTGAATCGAGTTTAACACGTAGGCTTTCGCGGCCAATATTATTCATAATAAAGGTTTTTTGGGTTAGATCGCGTTATTTATAAATGTGTCGTAACCCTCCACCACCCGACACGGCCAAACAGTAAAAAAAAGTGTCACGTTGACAAAAGACAAATAGTTCACTGCTTTAGCCCACCGGTGTGTTGAAGAGTTTTTTTATACGACGTGTCGCTGGTAATTACATCCAGCATCATCGGGCAATTTGCCAGAATAGTGAAGCCCTCACTTGCTCCCGGTCTTAAATCGAGCAGCAGCTGCAGGGTGACGTCATCATTTCACTCATTCAGATGTAGTGATTTGATGCGGAGAAAGGGGGGGGATTGCAATAATATAATAGATTGGTAATCAGTCAATTGTTATGATTAGTAATGAGTTGTAGATTAGTAATTAGTTGTAATGTGTGGTATTGTAATTATATGCTACATTAGTAATCGGTTATTTAGTATGTGTTTAAATTTTGATTTACAGCTTTCGTGACTGCAGGGATTCATCTTCTTGGTTCTTTCGGTAAAGTCACGTAGAAGGGAAATAATAAAATAATAAAAAGAAAACATAAAATACAATTCTCACGACGTTTCGGCCACAACGCAAGCAGCCGTCCTCAGGTGAAGAACAGGTCTGTCGGAAAGACAGCGTCTGAATGAGCACAACCAAGCTTGGCAGCGTATATTTAACCTGAGGACGGCTGCTTGCGTTGTGGCCGAAACGTCGTGAGAATTGTATTTTATTATGTTTTATTTTTATTATTTTATTATTTCCCTTCTACGTGACTTTACCGAAAGAACCAAGAAGATAGTATGTGTTTCCCCTATAAGGAATCAACCCTCCCCGAGAGGTGGGGCCTGAACTCGCAAACGCTTCCATCGCGAAGTTTCGCACCGTGCGGTAACGATCCCCATGTTCTTGCCGTTGCAGAAGAAGTCAAGCAAGTTTACTGCACGCCGTCTTCTCCCATACTCAACCGAGGGTAAATCTCTCTCTGGAAATCGTCTCCAAGCCTCCCCGTAAATCCCGCTTGACCTTCTGTGTGTGTGAGGCCACGCCCCTCTACCCCGTTTGCCGCCGCCCACTGTGAAAACAGACTCCGCTGTTCCTCCTCCGTGCAGCATCGGTGTCGCGGCCCTGATGCGGCCTCTTTCTCCCCATCCTCATCTCTCCTGACCCCCTTTGGTCCTGTTTTTCCATTCAGGATCCAGCGTTGGCGAGATGTTAACCACCTCGCCTGGTAAGCAGGAGGTCGTGGGTTCGATCCCGACCCTGACGCCTGCTGCTGTATATTTGGAGTTTGCGTCTCTCTCTCTCTCTCTGCCTGTGGTCGCGTGGAGTTTTCGCCGCGTCCTCCGGTTTTTCCCTCCACATTTAGAATCGACATCACGCATTTAGAGTATGTGGCTGCTTTACATTTCCACGCGATAAGGCACTTCATTCGGCTATCATTTCCAACACACCGGTGTGCTGTACTAGTAACGAATTGGCATGTTTTGTTTACGTGACAAACGCTTACTAATTGGCTGTGTCGGGTGGTGGCAGGTTAAATGACACATTTATATTTACGCAATCTAACCCAAAAAAAAACCCCTTTATTATGGAGCGGTGGATATAAATGAGCTCACAATGTCGCCACCGCCTCTATCGTCAACGCTGTCAGGCGGACGGACGTGGCAGAAATAGAAATCGGTTAAGGGGCCCGAACATTATCTACTTTGCATAACCCCCGAACTCGGAAAGTGAAAATTGACCGCCACTTACATCGTAAAAATATTTCCCAACACTTAAATGAGGTAAGTTTTATTCTTTCTTCTTTCCCCCTACCCAACTTTGCCTTGCGAGTCTTGCGTCAGAGTTGAACGTGGCACGGCGAACCTCAACTTTGTTTCCGGAAAAGATAACTTTTTAACGGGCAGTCGGTAGATAAAAAAAACAATACTTTTAGAAGCGTGACAACAGCGCTTTCAGAGTCGCCGTTGCCATTACTGCGGAGAGGGGATAAAGCGCAGCTATTTCGGGCGGCAATAGCACGCCAGCAATAGCGCCGGGCAATGTCAAGTCGTGGTTGATCGATGGTGCAGCTCTCGCTGATTCACTCCTAAGTCAATCACGGGTGGCCTGAAATCCAGATTCTGACTCAGAACCTGAGCGGTGACAATTTAGGGCGTTGTAACAACACGCGTTCCGCTGAGCCATCCCATCTTGCAAGGTTTAAAAAAAACCGTTCAATTTGTTGCCTGGCTGTTAAAGTAAACTCTTAGCCCCGAGGCTCGGTGAGGCTTTTCTAGATAAAAAAAAAAGTACGGTGATATTAACCATTGTTGACACGCACAAAAAAAGCAATGGCCTATTTATTCTGACGTGAGGCACCCAGTTGCTCCCTCGCTATACGCGCTCGCCTCTTCGTAACGCTCGCATCACGACCGCCGTGCTTGCTGTTCCCATTGCTGTTCCCACGGAATTTCACTCGTTGATTCCTCCGCCCGTGTCGAGGTATCCTGTTCAACCAAGCAAAGCCGTGCGTGTTTCCACGTTCCGCGAACTCCGGTCGTTCTCGCGGCGGTGGCGGCGGCGGCTTTAGTCTGTTCTTTGGTTCTTTCGGTAAAGTGACGTATAAAGATAAAATAATAAATTAAATACTAGCATACGACGTTTCGATTGCAACACAAAGCAATCGTCATCAGGTATAAATGAAATAGAAACACAAATCTAATATACTTAGAAATGTAATGTAATACAACAGAGAGTCGGATAACATAACAGTCAACACACTCTCTGTTGTATTACATTACATTTCTAAGTATACTAGATTTGCGTTTCTATTTCATTTATACCTGATGATGATTGCTTGTGTTGCAATCGAAACGTCGTATGCTAGTATTTAATTTATTGCTTTATCTTTATACGTGACTTTACCGAAAGAACCAAACAGTAATTCCTGCAGTCACGAAAGCTCCAAAATTAGGCTTGAATTCTAGATTTGAAGCTTTCGTGACTGCAATGATTCATATTCTTAGGTTTTTTCGGTAAAGTCACGTAGGTAAAAAACATTAAAAAGTAAAATAAAAAAAAAATACCACCTGAAGACGGAAGCTTGTGTTGCTTCCGAAACGTCGTGATTTTTATTTTATTTAACTTTTTAATGTTTTTTACCTACGTGACTTTACCAAAAAAACCTAAGAATATGAATTAGGCCTTAGTCTAGCCTGCCGTCAAACAAAGATGGCGGTTACCGCCATCGCGCGGCGCTGTCAGATGCGCGTCCGCGGCCGTCCGGAACGCTCTTCCTTTCCGATATATGGAAGTCGCTGGAGCCGTTCGCTCGTCAATCTCGATTAATAAACTCGCTTGTTTAGAGACGCGTTTTGCATCGGGTTTGTTGTCCTTCCCCCGCACCTCTGATTAGCACGGTTAGCTACGTCCGGTGCGAAATAGGTTCAACACACACATACACCTCCTCCTCAATGGAAGTCCAATCGGATGTGTATGCCCGACTATCCCTACCATTCTGCTTTTCAATTTCAAACCCCAAGCTGTCACCTCGGCTTTACCGGCGTGTCCCGCCCAAAGGCGACGTTTCTTCAGTCGCCACCAAGTTGAACTCCCGCGTGCGTACGCGCGTTACCACGTTTCGTCTTCCTGCCTCGGAAGTGCAATTTAGAAGCGTTCCTCGGTGCGGCCGTCGCAGCTTTTGTCCCATTTTCTCTGCGGTGCTGCCCGAGTTCCCGATCGATTCGCGCCGGAGCAGGGTGCGTAGCGACCCGCCGATTGAAATGCTCTTCGGCGCACGCTGATTTGTCGACGTCCCCCACTTATCGCTCCGCGAAACCTTGACGCTTGCGCATTCTCCGGACGCTGGTCCAACTTAAAATGCCGGTTATTTTTGTTGTCGTCTTCATTCGACAGGACGAGGAAGTCTGAGTTTTCCAAGTTTGAGCTGGGCAGCCCAAAGGCGGCGTTTCGTATGCAGAGCATAACCTGTTCGCCCAACATGCCTCTCAACAACAGAGGTAATGCATTCCCCACACCTCCACATCCAATGCCTATAGCAAGAGATAAAGGCACAGCCCTGCAATGTGCCTGCTCATGTCACTGCTGGCGGAAGGGCCTCCAGGTAATTTTGCCTGCTCTTCAATGCTGGCCCAGACGTCTTGGAAGAGGTGGGCTGTGTATTTGGAGTTTGCGTGTCTCTCTCGCTCTCCCCGTGGTCGCGTGGATTTTTCTCCGGGTCCTCCGGTTTTTCCCCTCCACATTCAGAATCAACGTCGCCACGCGTATTCACGAGTGTTTGGCTGCTGTGAATGATAAGCCGGCTCATAATGACAAGCCACTTCATTGAGCTGGCATTCGTGACAGCGAGGTCGCTTCTGAAAAAGAGCTAGAGAGCTCAGTGGGGTGTAAACCTAGGAAAATTAAAAAAAGCAAGTTTAATAAAATGTAGTTGTTATATATTCCATGGTCTCTTCTGGGTGACCACCGTCACTGCACACCGCCTGGAACATTTTTACATTTTCCAAAGAAAAATTGGTGGGATCAACCCACATTTCACCCCACCACACGCAACCCCGCAGCCCCGCCTAGCGGTGCCATACCCATCGATAATGACGTCTGGGTGGACAGAGGCAGAAGGGGGCGGTGGATTCAAGAAACTCAACCCCATTTGTTTCACCCTCTCCGCACCGGGATTTTAAAAAAATCGAACCGGCGACCTTTGGGATCGCGAGCGCCCGGCTTGACATAACCGTTGCACCGCGGTTGTATCCCACAATCTCGGGTGGTTAACGGAAATCAGACCCCCCCCCCCCCCCCCCCAATATTTTTTGGAACCTTTGCCCCCCCCCTCGCCCCGCCCCCCAGTGCTCTGCTAAGCTCCTTGAACTGAGGTGCACTTTGGTCACAATTTTGCCAATTGCACAATTTGTAAGACCTCACCGTATCGAAGGCCGAAAACGCTTACGCCTGGAATCTGTGCTTGGAGAGCAGTGTTCTGGGCCCTTGAGGTGAAATCTCAACCCTCGAGTGACCTGGCACAGTGGTGATGATGCTGATGCTGATGATGCAAATCAGAGATACTGCCCATCACGGATGGCAGTATGTACGTTGAACTTCGTTCGCACCGTACGTTCGCCAACCGTGCTAATCGGAGGGGCGCGGTGGCACGGTGGGTAACACCTGTGGTTCATAACAAGAAGGGCACCTTTTCTGTGTGGAGTTTGTATGTTCTCCTCCAGTCCTCTATGGGATTTCTCCTGGGTTCTATAGTTTCCTACCACAGCTTAAAGCTCCGACGTTGTTCCCCGTACCGCAATTGCACAATTTTGTAAGACCTCACCGACTCAAAGGCCGCAACTCACACGTGGAAGAAAACTTTGCGAGCCTTCTTAAAGTCCAGTTATCTCAGACCTTGAGATGAAATCTCAACCCTTGAGTGACCTGGCACAGTGGTGGTGATGATGATGATGATGCAAATCAGAGATACTGTCCATCTGGGATTTTAGCTGTGGCAGGAAACAAGAAATACCGGGATAAAAATCCCATAGAGAACAGGAAGAGAACATACAAACTCCACACAGAAAAGGTTCCCGAGTTAGGAATGGAACCCAGGCCCTTCTCGCTATGAACCGCAAGTGTTACCCACCGTCCCACCCAGCACCTCCGATGAGTACCCGTGCCTCCGATCAGCACGGTTGGCTACGTACAGTGCGAAAGAAGTTCAACATACGTGTGTACTTAGACTCACACAGAGACCCATAGACTCGCGCAGAGACCCATAGACTCACACAGAGACACATAGACTCACACAGAGACCCATAGACTCGCGCAAAGACCCATAGACTCACACAGAGACCCATAGACTCGCGCAGAGACCCATAGACTCGCGCAGAGACCCATAGACTCACACAGAGACCCATAGACTCGCACAGAGACCCATAGACTCGCACAGAGACCCATAGACTCGCACAGAGACCCATAGACTCGCACAGAGACCCATAGACTCGCTGAGATACCCATAGACTCACACAAAGACCCATAGACTCGCACAGAGACCCATAGACTCACACAGAGACCCATAGACTCACACAGAGACCCATAGACTCGCTGAGATACCCATAGACTTGCACAGAGACCCATAGACTCACACGGGGGACCCATAGACTCACACAGAGACCCATAGACTCGCACAGAGACCCATAGACTCGCGCAGAGACCCATAGACTCACACAGAGACCCATAGACTCGCACAGAGACCCATAGACTCGCACAGAGACCCATAGACTCGCACAGAGACCCATGGACTCACACAGAGACCCATAGACTCGCACAGAGACCCATAGACTCGCTGAGATACCCATAGACTCACACAAAGACCCATAGACTCGCACAGAGACCCATAGACTCACGCAGAGACCCACAGACTCGCACAGAGACCCATAGTTTGTTGTCCTTCCCCCGCACCTCCGATTAACACGGTCGGCCACGTGCGGCGTGAAAGAAGTTCAACGTACATCCATACGTACGTAACATAAAATAAATCTACATTTGAGTCGATGCCCCCCAATACAATATTTTTTGACCCGCCTGCCCGATGCCCTCCACCCCCCCCCCCCCCCACCCTCACAGGGTTTGCCAAGCGGCGGATGAGCGCCCAAGAGACGGTGAATCGGAGCGAGGACGAGTGGCCCCTGGGTGAGTTGTGGACGTTTGTGGACGCGAACGTTCGTTCCCCCTCCCACGCAGACGCCTCCTTGCTGCGATCGACCCGTGTCCACCCGCGCCCCGCCTTTCGTGCTCGCGGAGAGATTGCGGTCGGCCAGGAGGGCGACTTTGCCCCACCCCCCCCACTCCGGGAAGACTGGGGCCTGGACCTCCCTTGCGCGTCGACAGCGCGGCGTTTAGAGCGGAGATATGCGGCGCGTGCGGTCGCGCATCGTGTAAATCTTTATTTGATCGGCGATAAAGCGTGCTAAAAAAAAGCAAAAGCGAATGGGTGTTGAAGTCATTCGTGGCCGAGGGGATAAGAAGAGAGAGAGAGCAGAAAACATTTTCAAGGGAAAACAAAATTGGCGCTTGGACAAAATCACGAGAATTGCCCCAATCACCTGATGAACCAGAAGCTTGCCACTGATCAACAATCACCGCAACTTCCCTTGGTCAAGTTCACCAAATCTCTTGTGGAGACAAATCTGTGAACGGACCAAAGATCCCCCGTATATCCTGGACAGACTGTTGGGACAAGTGCTGTTAGTGAGCCAACACCACGCCCGGCCGCCTTTGTCTTCCCAGTGGCGATGTTTACACACCTCACCAGGTGCTCATTTTAGACTGGGTCGACCTAGGGGGAGGAGGACCCATGACCGGTTCAGGATAATCGTCACCGGTGTTGGCCGCGAGCGGGAATCGAACTCGGGTCGCCGGGTTCGTAGCGCAGCGTAGCTCTAACCGCCGCTCCACCGCTCCCCACCAACGGGGACCACGCTCCCGCTCACACGCATGTCAGCGCTTCCCTCGCGGCCGCTCGGAGATGCTCCGGTGCAGCCGCGTGATTTACGCGCGATACACGATCGCATGACCGGAGCGCACAACCCGCTCAGGCGTACGGGCGAGAAACGCGGGGGAGCGGCGGCTGGCACGGAAAGCTGCAGAAGTTTTGCGCGAAAGGGGCGCCCGGGAGGGACGCGCGCGCGCCTGCAATTCCGTCGAGAGACAGAAGGGAGAAAGAAGAGAAGAAAAAACACGTAGATCGGAAAATGGACGCCGCAGGTTGATTCGGTTCATTCGAACGGTCGATAAAAGACGAGTTAAAGGGCGTGCTTGGGCAGGGACACACGTCGCCAGTAGCGAAGATTGCCGGCGGCCGAGAGCAACGAACGCCGCGTCCGACCTTTGACAGGCGCTCGCTAAACAACGCTTGACCCCCCCCCCTCCCCCCGTTGCGTCCTACGAGACTGAACGAAGAGACGTTCGCCGGTGTGTTGTATTCTGTCCGTGCGTGTGTCTTAATTGCTCACCTTTGCAGGCTACAGACGGTCGCGGCTCAGCTCGCAGGAGCTGATAGACCGAAGCGAGCATCCCTGGCTGCAGGGTGAGGAGAAGGGAACAGGCGTCGTTCTCATTTGCGCTTCCCGGGGGATTTATTTTTCTCGTACCCCTCATAACGAGCAAACATCATCCGCCGTCGTCCATGAGAATACCACGGTGGTCGAGATGTTGACTACCTCGCCTGGTATACAGGAGGTCGTGGGAGTTTGGATGTCTCTCTCTCTCTCTCTCCCCGTGGTCGCGTGGATTTGTCTCCGCGTCGTCCGTTTGATCCCTCCACGTTTAGAATCGACATCAGGCGTATGGAGTTGTTTGGCTGCTATAAATTTCCGCGCGATAAGTCACTTCGTTGAGGCTATCGTTTGATGCCAGGTCGCTTCTGAATAAGAGCTACATAGCTCAAGTGAGCCTTACCTGGTAAAATAAAATAATAGTAAAAAGTAATAATCTGCTTCTGTGAGCCATTATCTAACGTCAAGTGTAGCACTGGTGAAAATTAGTAAACAATTCTTGATCTCATGATGTGATGCCGACAGCACAGCCGGTGTATACAATTGGGAACAAATGACAATAACAACACGCGCTGATGCTGCAAAGCATTATGGGAAACGCAATAATACTTTTCGCACCCTGCGCTGGCGTGCGTTGGCAGCCCATAACAATTTAACTCACCGGTTAATCTTTAATTTAAAAACATTTCAATTGGCATCGAAATTCCTTGACGAGGACAAAATTTTTACTTTTAAACGGCCGCGAAGCTTTCGTTGTAATTCTATCGGTATATTTTTGCACCTTGACAATTAACGTTGGCAAAGTATACTAATAGGGGTTTTCCCTTTTTTTTTGGCAACAAAACTGACACCTTTTGCAAGGAATCATGCTTACATTAACCACAATACTTGCAGTCAAATGCAAACAAAAACAATACTCTGATAACATATGCATTGTCTTTGAAACTGATTGGTCCACACCAGAGACACCTTTCTTTAGAGCCTAGTCTCATATGGTGTTCGACCAGATGACGCCAAAAGGCGCACAGTTCAAAGACAACGCACTACCAGAGTAATGAGAGCTCGGGCTGAGCAATGCATAAATTATCAGAGTATTTTTTTTTGTTTGCATTTGACTGCAAGTATTGTGGTTAATGTAAGCATGATTCCTTGCAAAAGGTGTCAGTTCTGTTTCCAGAAAAAAGGGGAAAACCCCTATTAGTATATTTTGGTACTGGCAAAGGAGGTCCCATAATGTTGGCCAAGTAATTCCCTTGGTCCCAACGGAATCGGGATACTTATTTATTATACCGGAGGAATCCGTTGAGCTCGCAAAGCGCCAACGCCTCTCCCGTTGTTCCCACTTCGTGCACCTCTAGAAAACGGCCGAGGGGAAAAATACCCTCGGCAGCTCCCGCCAGCGAGCGGTCAGTTCCCATGGACTTGCGGTCGATGATCACGTCGCTCATTATGAAACTGTCGTTTTTTCCCCGTTCCGAACCCTGCGGATCCACTTTGGGCCACTTGTTTCTTCGCCAGGCTCTTTCATTTCAGTGGGAATGCTCCATCTCCTGGACTTGGCTTATCCAGCTTTGGTGTGTTTGTGTGTGCGTGGTGGTGTGTAAGTTCAATACCTGGTAACGCATGCTCAATGTGAAGTTCATCGTCGTCGTCGTCGTCGTCGTCGTCATCATCCCGTGCAAGCAAATGATACTGAGCCATCGGCAGATCGCGGTGTGTTTTGCCAACAGCAGTGGCGTAGTTGTAAAGTATGCAGGCGGTGCAACTGCTTTGGGACCCACAGGTCCGGAGGTGCCCAGGTTGCCGGATTATAAAGAGGGGCAGAAATCAAATGGTGGGGATGGGGGCATTTAATTCCTTGTCCCAGAGCCCTCGCCAACCACTCCTGCACCACTGCCGAACAGGCATGCGCCGCCGGATTGTCAGGCATGTAACGATTCACTTCCCAGCGTTTACAAATGAATTGTCGCGATTGAGAGTCGTGATTCCGTTCCCTTTGTGTTACAGACTCATTAGCGTTGTCTCTCTCTCTCGTATGTAATACGCGAGTCTCTCATTTGTAGCTTTGTCTCGTCGCATTTTGTATTGTCTCATTCTGTCGTTCTCTGTCTCTCTCGTCCCCCGTTCATACAATTCGTTCTGTCTCCTTTTTTCCCTGTCCATCTTCGTTTGCGGTCTTAGCTTCTTTTCCATTGTATCGTTCGTCTCGTCTGTCTCTTCTCACGTGCCTGACGGTGCTGTGTCCCACGTTCGCACCTTCACTGGTTCGTTCATGTAAGCCCCACGCGCACGTCCCATGTACAATTTCACGAAAAATATCGAGTCCCTCGTGCATCGTCAGCCAAAAGGATCGATTTTGATCGACGAATCGAAGCATCGTTACATGCCTGCTGGTCGCTGATGACTCTAGCGCGCACGCACGCACGCGTGCTTGCGACGTACGTTGCCACGTGCCCGGACACTACTGGCACAAGCGGCAGGCTGTCCAAGCGTAGAAACAATTTAACTATTTTTTTTTTTTGCAGAGCTGATCTCTCATCGCTTTGCAGCATTTTCGGGACACCGTCTGTTCTCCCGTAACGCGGCGGGCGGGATAGTTGCGTTCCTGACGAGCACCTCGTCATGTAACAATCGCGTTATAATAAATAAAATATAAAATAGCGGGGTGAAGCGCAATCCGCGATGACACCGTGACACGCGTACGCAGGCCGAACAAAGACTGAGGCGCTTGGGGGTAGCATCTAGAAGCATCCAGCAGCATCCCGACACCCTTTTGTGACGCCAGACTGAGGCAGCCGCGCAACCGCCTATTCCGACTCGCACGACGGAGTTTCCGTTCGCCGAACGCGTCACATATCCATTTCGCATCCGCGTTAGAAGCAACAACGCGTTCTCATGCACGTTCATCTCGTCGTTTACCCCAATTCGCGTCGTGAAAGCACGCGGCGTTACGGGAGAACTGACTGCAAAGCGAAAAATGCCGAAACGTATTTTTCGACTCGGTCTACGCCGTGAAAATCGCTACGCGGTGGTGAAAGCGATTTTAGAAACACGGCAGCCTGCCGGCCGCTGCTTTCGGTACGGTGGGCATGTGAGATCCGTTTGCGCGTACGTGTTTTACCCGGGTTATACGCGGGTGTGCGCGTAACAGTACAGGTGTCGCGGGTGTTTTTCGCAGGTGTGCATGCTACGTGGTGCACAGCGAAGGGTTAGCTTGGCTGTGTGGTGTTTTTTTGTCTGACCTGTACAGGTGTGTGTTTTAAGTGCTACAGGTGCATGCCGTACACACTGTGACGGGTTGATAATACACACAGGTGCTTGATGTATTGAGATGCATGCCTCCTCTCTAGGCCTCGGTAAGGTAAAAGTGTAAAAACAACGAGCCTACCTTTACCCTACCTTTCACCTTACCACAATACAATCACTCTACCCTACCTTTTACCCTATAGCAGGTAAGGTAAACGGTAAAAAGCAACGAGCCTACCTTTACCCTACCCTTTACCCTTACCCCTTGGCATGTCGACACCTTTACTCTTTTACCCGGTAAAAAGGGTACAATTACCTTACGTTGCCGAGGCCTACTCCCCTCTATAGCTTTATCGATATACAGACTCGTGATGCATCCAGTGCAATACCCTATGCACCCACACACACTGGTGAATGCTACATATGCTGATATACAGTACCATACGTCTTGGATAATTCACAGGGTACGTTCCTTTTTTTTGCCCGCGGCTAAATCTCTCCAGAATGCCTCCAGATCTCCGGAAGCGAAGCAATTTCTCGAGGCTGTCTTTCAGTGTCAGGAAGGGTGACTGCCATGCAGAACAGCTGCTATAGGCTGCTTGTGGGTTTTTTTGTGTGTTTCTTGTTGATGCCCGGCAGGAAAACACGTTGTTGCACTTTTAATCTCCCACGGCTCTACGCTCTACGCTCACCCCCGCCCTCACCAGCCGGCCAGTGTCCGGCGTGGTGAAGTATGGTCATTGTAATCGGCACTTCCCACCACCGGTTTAGGGCCTCGCCGATAGATAAGCACCATCGCAACGCTCCGTTGGGGCAGGGAGGCCGTTTGAAGTCGCATGACCTGATTGGCTGTCGCCCGATCGGTTACCATCGCGTGACCTCGTTGCCACGTGGCCCAGTTGTTTGTCACGCGGCTTCATCGGTTGTCACGTGAACTGGTCGGTTGCAACGTGGCCCCAGGTTGGTTGTCACGTGACTTGTTAGTTTTTTTTTAATGCCTTACGGGTGTTGCGTTGGCCGTCGGTCAAACAGGTCTTCGTCGGTCAACTCGTAACAGAACCAGAATCGGAATATTTGTTTATGCTGGAGGAATCTGACGAGCTATAAAGCTCTTTTTCACAGATGTTCAGTCGGGGCAGGTCAGGAAGTTGCAACAAGAACAAACAATACAAACGCACAGTAGCAGTGTAAGTATAGGAAAGGTAAACAAATCACTTTTTAAAAATCTCTACAAATAAAACGAAACATTTTTTTTGTGTCTTATCAGGTAAAGCCCACACTGACCTATTAGCTTCTTTTTTCGGAAGCTACCTGGCCACGAATTATAACACCTGGGCCTGTCCCGTCCCCCTCCTGTCAAAGCTAGACCTTCGACACTTCACGCGGCCTCAAGGTGCACCTGACCTGGCACAAGCGCCACCACTCCGTGACGAACGGCGGCCGCTGCCGCCGCCGTTATTGTTGTTGCCGTCGCGTTGTGTCTGCCGTGCTCCGTCACGTGACAATCTGAGAACCTCGGGCCCCCCGCGTTTCCGTGTCCGCCCCCCCTCCCCCTCGCCGGCCGTGGCACCGCGGGCAGCCTGCTCCCCCGGACACCGGCGCTCCCAGGATCCGTGCGAGCGCTCCGCCGACGGCGGCTGGTCGAGCGGGGAGGAGATGTTCAACGCGTCGGACGGGGAGACGGAGGACGTCGTGGACGAGCAAGCGAACCCCGTGAGCAGACCGTTGCGTTTTAGCTTGTCGGCCGATGTTAGGAAGCCGCTCGGAGCTACCGACTTGTACAATCCCTCTCGTTGATTCACGCAAACTCCGGTTGGCGGCCTTTGGCTGGCCACCGAACAAAGACGGTCGCCGCAGCGCTTTCAGATGCGCTTCTGCGGCCGTCTGGAACGCTCTTCTTTCCGATGTTAGGAAACCGCCGGAGCTATGCATTTCTAAATCATCTAGATAGAAAACGAATTTCTTTAGAACTGATTGTTGTCCTTCCCCCGAATGGCTACGTATGGTGCGAAATAAATACACACGTGAACAAAACGTGAAAATTAGCTACCGCTTTGGCACATCGGTGCGATGGCGAGTAAACCCACAACATGGACAAGTGATTCTGGTAAATCACCTGATGACGCTGGTTGTAATCACCAGCGAAACGTCGAACTCAATTGTAAATGTCTCTCGGCTTTAGGTCAGGAGAATGTTCGCTACACAAGGGCACCGCAATGTTTTGGTGATGATTCTGCTGCTGATGATGATGTTGATGTTGCTAGCTGGTGATGCCACTGACGATCCTTCTGACAATGCTGTTGTTGATGATGTTGCTGACGCTGACAGTGCTACTGATGATGCTACATACATACATACAACCCGACCTCTGACCCCTATCACCACTGCCCCCCCCTTCCCCACCTGCCACCATCCCCCCTCCACCTACCCCCCCTTTTTACACGAGGAAGAAGTTTCAAGTTTTCAAGAAGGAAGCTACGGCCCATGTGTCGGATGTGTCCCGTGGCGTAATTTTTAAAAAAAGTATTTAACACAACCCGTGGTTGTCGTTTTGCACGACCCTCGGAATTCCATTTCGGACGTGCCACGGCCGCATGAGGCCTGCCGCTTTGAAGCGATTGTTTATCCGTCGCTGCAGGCATCTTAGCCGCATTCATTGGGTACCAGAAGGGGAATATTGGCAACAACGGCGCCGTGTATCTGGGTGCCTGGCCGTTGTGGGTGCCCCGATCCAGGGTCTACCCCTGCTCTGAAGTTTCTTTCAGGGCCCGGCGGTGGCTAGGAGATGTTAACTACCTCGCCGGGTATACAGGAGGTCGTGGGTTCGATCCCGACCCTGACGCCTGCTGCTGTATATTTGGAGTTTGCGTCTCTCTCTCTCATCATCATCACGGTGGCTAGGAGATGTTGCCTGGTATGCAGGAGGTCGTGGGTTCTATCTTGACCCTGACGCTTGCTTTATATTTGGAGTTTGTGTGTCTCTCTCCCCGTGGTCGGATGGATTTTCTCCGGCTCCTCCGGTTTTTCCCTCCACATTTAGAATCGACGTCACAGCGTTTCGAGTATTTGGCTTCTGCTGTAAATTCCCACGTGATGCTGATGATGATGATGCTGATGAGGATGACGCTGATGATGATGATGATGAGCCACTTCTGTTGGGCGATCAGCTTGCTCTTGCAAAAGAGCGACATAGCTCAGTGGGCCCTCACCTGGTGAAATAAAAATAGTTTAGCTTCACATTTTATCTGTCACGTCAAGGCAGTGCCCCACTGAATGACCTAAATACCACGAAGAATCTAAATACTGCATATATACTTATTTATTTTGGCATATATATACACATATAAAACGTCGAACACCCGCAACAAACACCGCACATGATTATTGTTGCGTAACTGATAAAGGATGAGGTCATGGCTTAAAGAGTACACAGTACACTTGACGACCACACCCTTAGCAGTAAACCTAAACACAATGTACGTGCGTGTGTGCGCGCGCGTGTGCGCGCGTGTCTGTACGTTGCAGATCTGTAAGGTGTCCGACATCTGCTAGGACGGCCGATCGTTGAGCCCGGCTCGGTCGCTCGCCGGCTCGGCCTCTCGTGGCCACCGCCCTTCCCTCGCCGCACCGCACCTTCCTCGCACGACGCTGCCACCACGGGTAACAGCGACCGCCGACGACAAAAAGGCCGCGGGCGTTCCCTCCCCAAAACCCACGCGGTTCCCACGCGGCGGACGCGCCGACGACGAGCCGTTTAGTTTTTTTGTCGTCGGGGAATTCGTCGTTGGAGCGTGCCGCGACTCTCCTGAGAGACGAGCCGTTGAGCCCCGTCGAGCTCAGCTGAGACGGAGGTGGACGCCGTAAAAGAGCCCCCCGCCGCCCCCCCCCCCCTGCACCGTCTTGTCAAGAGAATGGCTGGGGAGTGCAAGCCGCTTTCCGATTGACGGAGAGTTTCCGACACGCGGGCGGATCAGGACCGCACAAAGTCGCACGCCGCATGAGGTCCTGCGGCCGTGACCTCCAGCGGTTTTTGGCCCCGTCGGCGTTTTGACGGCGCCGGGTTCACGTTCGCGTTCGCCGGATCGCGAAGAGTGCCGTGGTTTTTGTTTTCTTCTCTTTTTCTTTCTGCCGGACGTTTTGGTGAACACCGCTTGTTGGACTCGCGGACACCGGAGTTTACGTCCATTCCACTACAATCAGAGACTGGTGCTCGGATCCGATTTAAAAGTGCACTTTCTTTCCCCCCCCGGCTTCCGCGCGCGTGCGCGTGTCCTGCTTGCGTCTCAAGCCTGCTTCGTCGCGCTCGATGTGCGTCGAGCCTGCAAGGTGGTGCACGGCTATAATCCAATCGAATCGTCGTCGAGACAAACTCGTGCAGTAAGGTGGAGTTTATTTAATCGCCGAATGAAGAAGAAACAAAAAATAATAACAATGCATATTTATCGGCCCCAAACTGGCCGTTCTGATGAAAATGTTCGACACTTTTTGTACCGGTTTTGTACTCTTGTAAACTTTCACCCGTATTTATTCTTGCATTTACGCCAGGTACCCCTTGCAAAAAGAAACCACCCTCCCCCCCGTATTAGCAGGGCTTGCTTGGACTGGTTTCAACTTCAGTGAGCCTGCTCAGTCAGGTGCCGCCTCGTACACCGATGCCACGGGGGGGGTGCCCTGATGAAACTGGCAGGAACAGCAACAGACGAGGGATGATTAGTGCCCACACCCACCTTGCTCACTTACCGACTTTATCGTAACATTTCGTCCGACGAGCGTAGCGAATTAATTCTAGATTTGAAGCTTTCGTGACTGCAAGGATTCATACTCTTAGGTTCTTTCGGTAAAGTCACGTAGGGAAAAAATAAATAATAAAATAATAATAATAAAAGATTAATGATATTACTTATATTTTATTATTTATTAATAATAATAGATTATTTCTATTATTATTTTATTTATTTTTTACCTACGTGACTTTACCGAAAAAACCTCAGAGTAGCAAATTAACTTTCTAACGGCAAAACGGCTGCGTGTTTTAAAATCTCAAGGAGCACCGCGCTACAGCGAAAAATGTAATCGCTTCCGGTCTCTTTCTTCACGGAAAAATCTAATCGTTGTCATCGGCCACGGGACAATCCGCCGTCGGATGAGGGCCCCCCTCCCCAAGCCGTCGCCATCTCTCGCGGCGTCCGGCGGAGTCGCAGCCTCGCCAGGCCCCCTGCGCAATGAGCCGCATCTCTGCGGTAGGTGCCGCCTTGAACGTTTGGAACAAAAAAATTAAAGAGGGCTTTGGCAGGGGCACATCGCTGGAAGGGATGAAGTGCGGTGGTCGAGGCTGAACATTCAAAATATATTTAAACATATCGGCCAGGCTTATTTGCTGCTGCAAAGCCAGTAGGCCCAAAATACTGGGAACATCTTTTTTTTGTTTAATGGAGCTACGGAACAGAAGGTGATTAATTTTAAAGTGGCCTGTTTGGTTCCGTGCCGTTGGCTCGTATCATTGCGGTCAGTAAGGTCTGTTGCAGAGTTGTTATTTTTTGTTTGCACGAAACGAGCATTATTAAAGCACTGAAATCAAACGCAATTTTGACAAAAAAAAATTATACGCCCCCAATTTATCCTGGTGGGAAAATGAATCAAATTTTATTTTTAAAGTCAGTAGAGATTTCCTGTCCAAATGAGTATTGAGGCACACTGGTGCTCCATCTCCCGTTTACAGCCCTGAGCCAGTGGTAGAAATTCCACATTCCTATGACGGGCGGGGAAAAGTCTCTAACCATCAGACAACCAACCTTTGACTTGCACGCAAGATGGTACTCGTATATCATGGGGCTGAGCCAAGCCCGCACCAAGGAGTTCTTCCCATTGCAAGTGGCTCACTCTCCCGCTGAATTACGTGGCCAGTTAAAATTATTAAGACGGAACTTAAAAAAAAATTACATGTATAAAATTTGTATCCTGTAATGACAAGGTTACGCTTGCGCAGGGGAAAATCTGTCTTTTTTGTCTTCTATCGGTGCTCTTTATCACTTTATATACGCAAAACACCACTATTTCTCTGACATCTTCCAGCATCCACTGTTAGCTCAGGATTTAATCAATAGAAGCTGAATTCCAATGTTCTCTTTGTACTTGCGGACAATATGCAATTCACCTTTTCTCAGCGCGTCCTTGTGGTTAACCTTTTATACATGCCGACTCTACCGTTGGTTTGTGTGTACGTGTAGGTGTGTTTCTTTTATATATATCTCACAATACGTAAGTGTAACTTATAAATATTGCAACATGTGTGTAGCATACATGTGCGAGGAAGGTCTGAAATACGCTCGGAAATTAGATGTTTAACGTATGCGTAGACTCCCATGCGTCTTGTTGTAAATTATCGTACGGTATTGTGGAGCGGTGACGTGGTAGTTCGCACCCTGCACTACGAACCCAGCGGGCTAAGTTTATTTTGGTCACGGCTAACATCAGTTACGAGTGATATCTGAACCAGTCCTGCCCCCCCCCCCCAACACCCCACTCACTCCTCTCCACCTTCACCAACCCAGATTGAGCAGCGTGGTTAAGTATGGTCAAGCAACGACTGAGTCGCCCCAGCGCTTGTGCCAGGCTAGGTGCGCTTCGAGCCTCTCGCGTGAAGTGTCGAAGGTTTGCCCGCTGGCAGGTCACAGGGCAGACCCAGGCGTGATGCGTTTCACTCACCTCAGATGGCTTGACAGATGATCAGTCTCCCATTCAGCCATCGACGTCACGCGGGTAAACACGTCATTGGCCCCGCCCCTGGCCCTGCTTGGCCCCGAGCTAGAATCGGTGTCTTGTGAGGCCAGCGTATCGCAGGGGGTTTTTTTTCCGGCTCGTCAATTATACCGTAGAGAGAAGTCCAGCCGTACCGCAAGGGCCCCTCATTGGCTAAGCTTGGCTTGGTTCTGCGAGTAGAAAAAAAAGGGGAAATAAAATTGGTTAAAATGACCGTGACCATTTATTAACATCTCATTTTCAGAAATGTTTTTTTGTATCTCCACTTCACACATATATATTGTGTGTGTGTGTGAGCGCGCGTATGAATAGAGGCAAGTGCGGTTAGTGAAGGCTTACTAACGCGACGTATCTCGCTTGCTTACAGGTCACACCTGTGAGCTCTTTGTGTCGTGTGTATCATTAACCGTAATCACTCATGATTTGTAAATAAGGCGAAGCGGTGCCGACGGATTTGCTCGTGTTGTATTTATTGTGGTGGGATATGATTGCTGCTGTACAGAACTGTTAACATTTGCATCAATCAATATTCGACAACATTCGTAGCGTATGAACAAAACGGGGGTGGGGGGAGCGGTGGCGTGAACGGGGGGGGGGGGGGGTTAGTGGGCAGGCTGCGTTTATTCTGATGTCGAGAACGGTGACTGGAATTGTCGGACCTTGCTCACCCAGCGTCTGTGCTGAAGAGGCGCGACCTCCGTTCGTCGATTCACGTCGACGAATCGATTGAGCGCACGACCCACGCGTGGGAATTGCGGTCGCGCGATTTAAATTCTACCGCGGAGTTGGGAGCGGCGGCGGTGCAGTGGTGTGCCCGCCGCGCTCTGAACCTTGCACTCTTGAGCTCAATGTCCCGGCCACAGCTGACATGAGTGGCGAGCGACGACTGGATACACCAACCCCTCTACCCCCTTCACCAACCGGCACTGACCAACGTGGTGAAGTATAGTCAGACTGCATACACGACTGCATGGGAAGGGCCTTCATCCGGCAGTGGATTGACAGAGCTGTTAGCTTGTTAATATTTTGTAACATGTTGTACATGAAGCCCCCCGTAGCTGCTAGAAACCACTGCAAAGAAGAAAAATTATAATCCTTGAATCGAATCGCAACACCCACCCTATCGCGCGGTCCGGAGGCTGGGTTGTCTCGGCCATGCGGCGGCGTGGCGGATGTCATGCAGCGCCGCACGTAATAGCACAACCGCACGCGTGCACAGACAAACCGGCGTGCGGCGTGCGGCGTGCACGCACAACCTGCACTTTCAGTCCCCCCCCCCCCCCCCCCGTAACGCTGGGTTCGTGCTGTAGCCGTAACAAATTTTTTTGGTCGATGGCTTCAGGACTAGAATTGGGCGACTCTCTGCCTGTGGTGCGCAAAACCGACAGTCGATTTTGACCTTCATAAATAAGGAAGATAATTCGGCCCCCTCCCTCCCCCTTACCTAGCATCGCCCGGCATCGTCCGATTTCTCGCAAACAGAAACAAACATCGCTTTCGGTTTTCCACGTTTGAACGACGTGGTGATTGGGGAAACTCATAATTCGTAATTGAGTTTTGAATGATGTGCAGTGTGATCCATTTATCGATGGCCCCGCTGATCTCCCTAATGAGCGTTTTCTTTCCCGACGGATGATTGCATTTTGCAAAAGCGATGCCGATGTCGGATAAGGTGAATCGGGAGAGGGTTCAAAGACTTGTTGGAGGCTTAAAATGAAAATGTTATCTCTATAAATTATCCACGTCATTTTAGTGGGATAACCTTTCAACGGATGATTCTGCATGAATCTACAAAAATATATATTTATAAAAGAAATCTAATTAGAAATTATAATTCAGAATGGTAATTGCTTATCACAAACGACCACTTTCATGATGATAAAAAAGGTGGTACTGCTGTTAAAAAGCTGGGTGAATGTTAGATATTTGGATGAATGTTTTTTTATCTGAATGTTATACATTTGGATGCCAGTTGGATATCTGGATAAATTGTTGAAAATCTTAATAATAAAGAATCTGGATACATCGTTGAAAATATGGATGTTGGAAAATCTGGATAAATCGTTGAAAATTTGGATATAAAAAAGTCTGGATAAATTGTTGAAAATCTGGATAATAAAAAAAATCTGGATACAATTTTGGAAATCGGAATAATAAAGAATCTGGACAAATCGTTGAAAACATGGATATTGAAAAATCTGGATAAATCGTTGAAAGTCTGGATATTAAAAAAATCTCGATAAATCGTGGAAAATCTGGATAATAAAAAAATTCTGGATAAAACTTTGAAAATCGGAATAATAAAAAAATCTGGATAAATCGTTGAAAATATGGATATTGAAAAATCTCGATAAATCATTGAAAGTCCGGATATTAAAAAAATCTAGAAAAATCGTTGAAAATCTGTATAATAAAACATCTGAATAAATCGTAAAAAATCTGGATAAATCTTTGGAAATCTGGACGAACCCAACATTGAAAACAACCACATGCAACGTATTTTCGCATACGTACAGTGGTAGGAAGTCTTGCGAAAGCCTGATTCGCGAGGCATTTCATTTGCAAGATAACGCGCCCCATCTGTCGCTGAATGTTGCAACCAAACAGCCGCTGGTGCACTTTACATGAACACGCGGCAAAAATCAATCAGGGTAATCAAACAATCATATCCGAACGGTGCAACAGTGTATTATCAGAATTTTTTTTTTACAATGTTCGGTCGCTATTGTCGAATGGGCAGTGGCGTAGGTATCGCGGGCGAGAGAGACGCAAAAATTCGCACGCGGTTTTCGAAGAGCGGCAGAAACTATATTTTTTGAGAGAAAAAAAAAAATCCAACTAAAAAATAATCTTCAGCTTCGCCAGCTAAAATGAAAAAAATTAAACATCACTTTAAATTACTGTAATATACTGTTTAGTGTTATGTACCGCACCTTGCTAACAATATTATCTGTATATCGCGGTGTGTATAACAGGTGTTTGTAATGACGTGTCGCTATTTATTAAACAAGATGTCGTTTGAACAATACACTCCTTATATCACGGGGGAGAGACAATAGGTCCGTGTTTTTTTCTTCATCCTGCAATCGTTGAGACCGTTGCCGTAACACGTTCGAGTTTTAACCATCTGTTGCCGTGCGTGTATCGGTTCATTCATTGCCTTCCGTTAAGTCTTCATCCCGCGTGTACCGTGCCGGCCTTCATAGGTGGTCGCTGACAGCACTTGCCCCAAACAGTCCGGTACATGCAATACGTGGGGGATCTTTGTCTTTGTGGATTTTCTGCACGCACTTTGGTTTTCCTTGTGCTCACACAAAAAAAACATCAAACATGGAATTTGGCCAAACATCCCAAGTGAGAGCCTTGTGCATAAAAAAAATATAAAGTTAAGATTCGGTGATGTAGCCGTTGAGTGTACAGGCGGTGCAACTTCACCGGCCCCTTATGGGTTGGCGTGGTTCAGGTGTTCGGCCTCCGCAGAAGGCGAGGCTGTCCCGGATAAAGTTTTAAAATCATCATAATCGCAGTACTGTCTCATTGGCCTATAATACAGGGCGCTTCAAAAAAATGTTAACACCCACATGGGACTATCGTTTTTAATGGAAATAGAACGGATAATGATACACTGCACCATGATCACAAATGTAATGTTATTAGCTCCAAAAAGTCAAAGTCTCCACTCGTTCGCCATCATTGTCAACACGCGCCTGGAAACTTCTCCAGGTGGTCTCCAGAGCCCGGGGGAGGCACATTACTCGTGGTGTTGTTGCAAATTCTCAGAAGCGTTAACGTTTTTTTGAAGCACCCTGCATAACCATTCATAACAGTACCAATGAACACATCCTACGTGACACCACTTTGTAAACCTGACATGGATTCCCAAGACTTGTAGGGGAATGGAATGGACTACAACCTGGGCCAGGGTTGTTGTTCTCTGTGCTTCCGGTCCAATGTAGTCCGTGTCTGGTTTGTCAAGTCGGCTCAATGTCAGCTCCGTGGTGGCACGGATTGGAGGTAACTGCTTCGTTGTTTACATGCGTGGGCTTTGTCAGGCTGGAAGTGGACGTTTAACAACAAATTCACTGCCTCGTGGTCATGTAAATAATAGAATTATGCTCAAATTTTTACGGTACCGTTTGGGAAAGTATGTTGCAATTTCGGTACATTAATGACATCACGATTATAATTTCCGTACGGTGGTGGCAGTAGCGTTATGTTTGCGTTTTTTCGTCCAACTTTTTTACCTTAATTGAGTCTAACCTTGAAATACGGCATTTAGCAAGAGAAATCCACATTGTTAGTCCATCTATAAATATTCAATGTTGCCAATCATTTATCCATCCATGCAAACATATCTTACAGAACACCAGGTGAAGGATGCACTATGGCTATATCATACAGGCATCACGTGGGATACTATACAACGTTTTGGCAATATATGCATTGTGATATAAATGTTATTTCAACATAGTCGTGATCGTAATTCATTGGCATTTCTTGATGATTCTGGGATCGCGATACCTTGGGAATGGTTGATTTATCAAGATATTGCTCCGTATGGGCGATACCAAATTATTGCATTGTGTCTGGGTGATAATTAGTAACAATTATGTAAAAACAATGCGATCCATTGTAAAGGTTTGCCTACATCGCTCAGCATTCTTATAATTTACTGGTTTTTAAATTAAAAAAAAATTTCACTGACATTGCACGAGCAACGAAAATATTTCTGGAAATGCAAGGGTGCACGCACAAGCCCTCGTGTTTGACACGAAAGCGTTCTTTGCTTGTGCATTTAACAAGGAATTATGGGGGGGGGGGGGGGAAATTAACCTGAATGTGGCAGCGATGTCAAAAGTTAGAGCATTTTTTTCTTAACCCAACAGTGACTGCTTTTACAATTAAAACATGTGCAGATTTCAAAACGTGCGTTATAATAACTGAAGTTGTATTGATATGTCCCCCTCTTTCCCTTGAAAGGGCGTTTAGACAGCAGACTCGCAGACTGGGCTCTGATGGGCTTCTCTAGACAATAGACTGACAGACCGGTCTCTGATGGGGTCTCTAGACAATAGACTGACAGACCGGTCTCTGATGGGGTCTCTAGACAATAGACTGACAAACCGGTCTCTGATGGTGTCTCTAGACAATAGACTGACAAACCAGTCTCTGATGGGGTCTCTAGACAATAGACTGACAGACCGGTCTCTGATGGGGTCTCTAGACAATAGACTGACAGACCGGTCTCTGATGGGGTCTCTAGACAATAGACTGACAAACCGGTCTCTGATGGTGTCTCTAGACAATAGACTGACAAACCGGTCTCTGATGGGGTCTCTAGACAATAGACTGACAAACCGGTCTCTGATGGGGTCTCTAGACAATAGACTGACAGACTGGTCTCTGATGAGGTCTCTAGACAATAGACTGACAGACCGGTCTCTGATGGGGTCTCTAGACAATAGACTGACAAACCGGTCTCTGATGAGGTCTCTAGACAATAGACTGACAGACTGGTCTCTGATGAGGTCTCTAGACAATAGACTGACAGACCGGTCTCTGATGGGGTCTCTAGACAATAGACTGACAGA